ATCACAGTAGCTGGACTTCAATCTTCAGTCTAGCATCTTCAATCTATTTGCTCCAAAGGAACTCTCCTGGTTTCTCTCCTGAGGGAGACTGAATCAATTCTGTAAACTGAAAGTGAGATACTTATACACGAAGAAATCCTCTGAGTTGCGTTGGCTATACACACTTATGTTGCACATGTCTTTTACGCTGCACAAGGCTTCTTGTGTGTTTGTTCAGTGTTTCAGCTGGTAGGACTTGCACAGCTTGCAATTTACCACAGTTCAAGCAAACACAGCATAAAAATTTGAAGTGTGCTAATTACCACTTAAAAGCCTTCTATTGAACCTCAAGGCACCCAAAAGACTGTCTACTGGGTACATAACTCTTATATTCTCCTTCAAGAATTGCCCCTGTGTCTACTCTACTCCTGGCTTAGCAGGGCAAAGTAGGGGAGCAGGCAACTTAACCCACCACAGGGTACGTAAGGCAACACTATTAAGGACTTGCATTTCAGAGATTTTCAGTTCCTGGTAACACCACAACAGGCTGTCTTTGAGAGCAACAGAGAAACCTTATCACCAGAGCGAGGACAGGGAACAGAAGAAAAATTCTCAAGAATTTGGTTAGAAAGAGAAGCTGCAGCAACATGTGGAGGACTTGGTAAGTGACGGAGAGGACATTATAAATGTTCCCTCAGCCCTTGGAACTAACTACATGCAACCATGTACTGATTGCAAGGCCGTACATGCACTTTAACAGCACAAGCATCCTAGACCACATCTGGGAGGACAGAATCCAAGACACACCTGGTAAGGGCAAAACCTGCTGTTGAGTCATCTAGAGGAATAACATCTTACATCTCAAAGCCCCAAGGCTCACATGCACCATCTTCTTCCACTTCAAACAAGGACTCTTTCTCCAGAGCTGTCAAGTCTGCCAATATCCACTATACTGTCGCCAGGTGGTACAGCTCTTGGCTTTCCTGAAACACCAGGCCATTGACTTGAAAAAGGAGATCATAAAGAAGTCAGAGGGCTGCTGAACTGACAGATTAAACTTGTAATACCATACTCAGGATACAAAAAACTTCTGGTCCACACTAGGACTGTTGAGATGAGACAGAACAGATCCAGTCTGCTTGACCATGCTACCGATTGTAAAGATTGCAGGAAAGTTGAATAGCTTGAAGTTCTCAAGTGAAGAAATACGTATCAGGGAGTTTTGGCAAGCTTTCCCAGCTCTGCTGTACAGCAAGTGGAAGGGGGTCCCACCCGTAGGCCTCAGGCAGCTAACTAGCTACTGGCAACACAGAGAGGTAACAAATACAAACCAACATCACTTCTTCACACAGCAGGGCAAATCTTGTTTCTCCCCACCTGCTGGTAACATACTTGCAGCTGTAACACTTACACAGATGCCAGACAAAAGGGATAATAAAATATATTAAAAAGACCCGTTCTAATTCAAATGGTTTTAACTTTTGAAGATGCTTCTATATGGTGTGATCTTGCTGTACTGCAGCCCCCGAATCTAAAGCTGCCAAAATCCAACTACAACACCTGGGCTCATCCAACTACAACATCTGGGCCTATGTGCCCCCATCACAGTGCAGGCTGGCACCAACAGAAGAGAATTCCATGTCGTAACAGCAGATCTGTCCACAACCCCGAAGGACAGGACAATCTGACAACTGTTTTCAGTCTATCTAGCCACAGTGTGTCTGCTGTGAAAAACACGTTTCAAGACAAGCGCTGCAGGAGCTGCAAGTAAAGTGTGGCATGGTGCATAACCTTAGTGCCTTTCAGCACACACCCAGAAATCTGAGGAAAGTTTTCACCAGTGTTTTAAATTATATGAATGAAGATCTGGCTCTCAAACATACATCATAGTGTAGAAAGCCATCAACTTGCAAGCTACTAGACTCCCAATTTGAAATCAGAATGAATTCCTACCCATTTCTTTGTAAGTTGGGGAAATGAAGTGACTGCGGAGGAAATAAATCTTTGCCCATTTAGGGGAAGTCCTTGAGGCAGCTGGCTATGAAGGAAGATAATTTAACCTGCGGGCTATACAAACTTGCAGCCACCATCAGGAAAAAAATTGTTAAAATACTAGTGAGTGCTGATAAGAAGGACTCTGTACTAGCAGAAAGCTATTCTGAGGTCCAAAAATCCTCACCATTTTCTCAACTACACAGACAGAAGTGTTAAATATTAATGGACTGAGCAGCAAATTACGTGGAAAGACGTAGCAATGTTACTACGGATGTTATGGTGAGTGTGAACATTAAGAGGCAGTGAACAGAACAGCAGGAGTCTCCCGAAGTGACCAGAGGCACAGCAATCAGAAAGGAGTAGTTCCCACAGCTCCACCCAAACCATGAAGATAAGAAATGTTGATGTTCTCCCAATCTGCTGAAAGAAGTCCTCTTCCCAAAGAAAACCAGCCCTACCCCAGGTCTGCAGGCTAGGTCAGCTAGAGCCAGAGGAAGTGATTGTTTGCAGGCACCTGAAGAAAGCATTTCCTCTTAAGTGACTTTGTTACCAGATCTACAGCCTAGAAGGCGACTGTAGTAGCTGACTTGGGTATGATGTCTTGAGCAAAAGCTGAGACTGATACCAACACACGACTGGTGGACACCAAGGTGAAGAGTGCAGAGAGAACACAAATCTGAACAAGTAACAAAGGTAACACTCCTTTGTTGGAGGCAGCAAGACTTGGAACTGCAGACTTACCATTAGAGGCCATAAGAAGACATGAATGTCTTGGGCTCATGACAGCAACTGAACTCCTTACTTCCTAGTGAAGTAATACTGAGCCCCTGAAGGTCTCCCACTGATCTGGTCTGTGCAAGGACACTGCTCAAAACTGCAGAATGCTGGTACCAAGAAAGAGAGAGGTAAGTTTCATTTGGGCTTCTTAGAAGAAGCAGCAAGCGAGTAAGGAGACAGACCATTCCTACAGGATCATTTAAATCTCTCTTCTCTATCCTCCAAGTGCCCATCTTCCAGCCAGAAGAGATGCAGGTGTGTCTCAAACTAAACAGCAGGCAGTCCATTACTGTGGATTAGTATTCAGCTTTGGCAGGATAGCTGTGCAACATGACCCTGAACCAACCTATTTTCTTAAGGCCTCTGGCAAGTAAGAAACAAAAAGAAAGCCAGAGCTACAGAATTACCATAGAAAAGGTCGAAGTAGAAACAAACAGAACTGTGATGCTAAGACTGTAATCAACATTTAATTCAAATGGAAAGGCTGTGTCGTACCCTGACACTCATATGTACCAAAAGGTTTCAAAAGTTTTATTGCAGTTTTAAAAAAAAAATAAAATCTGTCTCATGTGCTAGGTTCCACATGTAAAAATCATATTACTTACAGCTGGCGAAGAGATTTTGAAGAGACTGCAATTTTTTTAATCAAGCATACACAGAGAATTCTGGCTTCAGAAAACCAAGAAGGTTAGCAATTTGGAGATTTAAGTAGTACACTTTAGGTTGCATGGACTCTGGAGCAAGAAAACTGGGCAAAAATTTATTCTAATATACATGACACAGCATGACACAAACCATCAGGTTAGTCTTCTAAACTCTATGCAGTGTTTAACACTGATTAAAATTAAAGTTAGCCTTTTATTAACAGTGAAAGACTGCAATCAGTATTTGGAAAGCATCCCACAAAATTGCTAAACTGTTTATTTTCATTGACAAAAAAACAAGGTAATATTCTTCTGTGATTTCTGAAATGAAAATATTTATCACACTAACCAAAAATTCTACACAAAAAAATATTTTTAACAAAGTTTTTGCTATCATTGGTTATATACACATTACAGAAATTAAAAAATCATTATCATTTAATGAAAAAAGGATGAAGCATCTTACATGCTATTCCATATAAAAAACTAATTGGTTTAAGGATGGAAAACCAAGTGTAATATCAGAGGTGGATCTGCCAAGGTGTATCTTCTATCCACTCAGGTACCCACCGTACCTGAGGGCTCTCCAATTCCCTTGGTGCTGCTTCTTGAGCATTACATACTGCATTTTTACATTCTTCATCTGACAACATGCAGCTTCAATAATTCCTCTACAAAATACTAGTCTGCCAACAGCGCTGTCCAAGAGCAACACCCAGAGGCTAAATATATTGCTACAGCAACTCTGCACATTTTGACCTGTTTCTTTCTGAGAAAGAAAAACCTTCATAAAGATAAGCAACAATTTCCTGTAAAACTAAAGAGCTGACAAAACTCTTTCAATGGTAACACTAACAGCAAAGTGTTGCAGGCAAACAAACCCGCTCATGAAAATCACATCTTTATAGCTATTGTGAACAACATTTTAGAACAGATGATATATACACACACTTATGTAGAGCAAATAAGCAGTAGTTTTTGCAAATGCATGTGTACAGTATTTTGGTTGGCAGCAGCACTGCAAAGGAGCAACTAGAAGGATGCCTGCTCTCTAGAACGCAACTGCATTTTTCAAATGCAGAAAGACAGAGAAGAGGCAGGCTGCTCTCCATTTCCTTTACCAGTTGTCAAAGCAGTACCTTTTTTTTTTTCCCTTAAATCTTGAAGGCAGTTGCTGTAGGAACAACTTGGCTATGCAATAACAAAAAACCTCCAGCGAAAAGGTAATACCCTAGAGCATCTTTAAGAGGAACACATTATGTGGAATCACAGCAAGAAGAGGGATAGAAAACTGGATACAAAAACAAGTCACTTAAAGATCTCTGGCATCTAACAAGACTATTCTCTGCAAATTTAAAGCCTACATAGTGGACAAAGAAAAAGGCTGACAAACTAAGAACACAATCAGTAACACCACACTTATACCCCCAAACACTTATTTAGAATAAAATGTACTTAAAAGAAAATGCAGTGAAGATCGTGTAATCACAAAACATGACTGCACCTACCAAACCTTGTATATTTTGAGATTTCAGATCAGGACAATGATCGAAACCAAACAAAAACAGAAGTCTCAACGAAACACCTGAGGGAAAAGTTCCTAATCTATTGAGTAGGGTTTGTTCCATTCTCCTCAGTTAATTGCATTTTTTTTTCATCTGTCTTCTCAGAAGCATGCTCTTCACCCGGTTGTGGTGAAACTGGAATCGCATCAACTATGAGGAAGCAATCATCCCTCAGCACCTGCTCAGCCGTCAGTCTGCTACAGCAGAACAAATTCAGGAGAAGAGATTTAACTTTATCATCCTACAAACAGAGGGAGAAGGATTTCATCAGTAAGCAAAACAAACTCGGTTACAAATAACAACCAAGTATTTGGTGAACACATCTTGTAAGTGCTTAGGGCCCTAAGCCCTCACAGAAAGTTGTACCATAGCATTCCCGATGGTCAGCATCACTTGACAATCATAGTGCTCATTAACAAAATAAAAGCAAGCGTTCAGCATCAGGTCTGTCAACATGGTATCAGCAGATTTCGCAGAAGAGCACGAGTTATTATATTTTAAAATACCAATTCACTAAACTACTATAAATTAGAGACCAACTGAAGTTGGTCTTTCTACTAAGAAGGAATAGAACAGGTGCCATTCACCTTCTACAACTTAATCTTTTAACTTTTGTCATATTGCTTTATGTCTCTACAAGAGCACAGGAAAAAAAACAAAACCAAAGTAATGGGCTCTAAATCAACAGCAGCTATTTTGCTATTAACCCATCACTTACACTTAGGCTCTCTGGATTTATTAGAAGGGATTACGTGCCTAAATTCTTAGCACATTAACAGTGCTAGACTCCATACACAGAACATAAAAACACAGCTGCTACACATATGCATAAACATCAGCTATTGAAGGAAGAAGAGCACACACTGGATTTGGCAAGGGGACTGCAAGAAAGACAATCTCAAATGCTGATCTAGAGATCTGATCCCAAAACTCAATGGGACCAGAATCTTTCCATAAGAAGGCTTGCTTGTTCACCGACTCCAGACCAGCAACACCATTGACCAGGGTCAATAAAACAGCAAAGCACAAGATACCTGTACACCTCTCACCTACCCCATTTCACCCAGACAGAAGAATCACTGTGATGCAAAGGAATGTACACAAGTAGTCAAAAACTTGAAGACAGAAACAAGCAGACAATGTCCAACTCTTCCACTAATTATCAGAGTGAATCTGGAGAATTAGCCACTCCCCAAATAATCTGAAATCTGGGTGAAAAGATGGGATCTGAAAACTGTTGATCCTACAGGCATAAAGGATTGTTAAATGTTTATAAAACATTTAAAATGCTCAAAGGAAAATCCTAGTTAAGAAGATCCAAACGTGCAATGAAATACATGAGTGAACCATGACTACACACTTCCTCTGCAAAATTCGAAGTGAAGAAAGTCTGAGCATTTAAAGAGCTTGAAAAGATTTGTAATTGTATATTTGCATTTCATGACACGGTCAAATGTCTGTCAACAACAAATACCCCTTCTCACACTAAGGAAACTGAAAATTGATTCCACGGGGAATACTGCTGTAGGACAACATTTCATCGTGTTTACTTCATTCCACTGTGTTTGCTCTTATTTACTTTTTTTTTTTAAAAAAGACGCAAAACTGGATGCTGAAACACACGGAACACTGAAGCCTGGCATGGCTAAATGAGTGGCTACAAGATCTATCTCTAATCTTTGCTTTTCCTCAATAGCTAGCTAACATTAATATCCCTGTTTTAAAGCTTAATGTTATTTTCCTGTGGCAATTTTACATTTGCTGAAAACAACAAAAATTTTACTAGTTGCAAGTGTGCAATTCCTCTGGACACAAGACTGAGATGGAAGGGAAATTACCAGCCTGTCAAGAGCCTGCAGATGGGCATGGAGATTAATTCTGAATAAGCTGATTATAGATAAAGCACTTAAAAGCAAAATAGATTTTCCCCAAGAACTGGGACAAGGATTAATAGCCGGAGGTCTAAAAGATTCCCCAAGAAACAGCTGAAAGATATTTATTAGTATTACATTTCATAGTAAAACCCTCACGTGCACTGTGTTCCTGTGCACTGCAGGCAGCACAGATTGCTTTCCAGCAGACTTTGGTGGTCGGTGCATGCGCATGTGCACGCACACGCATCCAGGATGAATCCTTAAAAACTGCCAACAATGATATATTGATTAGGATTGTACCACCTGATAAGGTCAAAATCAAATGCTGCTTCTTTTCATCAGGGAAAAAAGTTAAAAAAACTTGCTTTTATTAAAAGCTGTAAAATGAATTAATCCCTGCTAAGAACAATAATGGCCAAATTCATTAATTGTCCTTGAGATACAGGCAGCTGTTTGCACTTCAGAAGATACCTGCTACAGAAGAACACAGAAGTACAATACCCTGAAACTGGCCATTTAAACTTTGATTTGCATACTTCAGTCCTTATTTGTACAACATTATCACAGCAGAAATTTTATGGAAAACAGAAGTGAACCAACTCCTATTTTTAATGTCCCAAGAAATCTTTTCTACTTCCTTGAACAATTAAGTTTCCCTTATGCATGACAGAAAGCTAGGTTTTTCGGTATCTATGGATTATTATGCATAATCCTGAATGACGCACTGGGCAGTTGGTTCTGTACAAGTTTTGTGGCATATATTTAAAACCCCCTAGCTAGCCCTAATGGTGAATCATGAAGTACTGAATCTTCTTTCCTATAGTATTGTGCATTTCATGAGATTCATTTAATTTTTAATAAGAAACCAAGCAACTATAATGAGAGATAAGAAACGCTATTTACAGGATCACCTCCCTGCTCAAATGCTGCATGTTTTATTCTTTTATTTTCCATGGTAGTGTCACACTGGAAATAATTTTGCAGAGGGATTTGGTAGAGAGTCCTGTGCTTTATCAGTAATATTTTCATCGCTGGAGAACATTGTTGAAATGAAGTCATTAAAAGACATACCGTAGAGGAGAAGAGTCAGCTAATAAAACAAGATTATTTACAGTACTATGTTATGCAGTGATACACAAGCTACCCTGCCTGGACACTGGAACCACTACACCTGTGTTAGTCTGGTACTGTATCATGACAGTTTCTTAACCTAAACACAGTACACAGGATACACTAAGCTCAGTGTGAACACAACTCCAGTAAATCTGGACCAATTTTAACCCCATGCTTTCCTAGGTATCTCCGCAAAGCGGGCAAATCATTAATGCACAAGTATAACCAATAAACAGGGATTTATTATTAGGGTTTCTTTTGCCCTTGACAAAACAACCCAAATTTATCTGACCAACAGCCACTCTGCTGCTTTATTTTCTACTTTTCCATTCAAAGTATTTTTCTACTTTTCTGGAAAATATGGGGATTAACCTCTAACTATTCCCTATATTCCTTAGAAAATTCTATCCATAACCTAAGACTCCACTTAAAAGCTAAACAGTCACCTGCTTGCAGGTTTTTTGATAACAGTCTAAGGCTTGTATTAAGGAGTTTCATGGCCTTCTCAAATCTAGATAAAGCAGTAAGCTCTCACTTAAAGTAATATCAACAGAATAAGCACGATATGAGAAGTAGTCCATATAGATTAAAAAACACAAGGGTAATCCACTCAAGGGAGATGGGAGGGACACAGGACAAGAACAAAGCAGTCTGTAACTAGACAGGCAGAAGTACAGCAAAAAGTATGAAGCAGAAACTAGTCTGGGAAGCTAGTGATTTGAAAAAGGTCCATAAACCTCCCAGTGAATTTCTTTAAACTATATATGGTGGCATGTCTTCTGTTATTCCAACTTTTGTAAGGAGGAAAAGGAATCACCTGTGGCAAAGGTAGAAGAGGTTGAAAGCAGGCAAGAAAAAAGGTCTTAACTCTTGGCCAGAAGGCTGAAAGCTTATGGGAAAGAGAGTTACACAAGAAAATAAACCCAAGGAAACACAGGTGCTCAGGTAACTAAGGCACACAGAGAGAAGGCCAAAAATTATCTGCTTATGATTAACATCCAAGAGATAGATAAGTTAGCAAAGGATTGACTTCAAAGTTGGGGACCTAAGTTGGGAAACATCAAGGCACACAGGTCTACTTATTCTCAAAGAGTCACTGAGATACTGGGCAAGGATAAGTTTCAAAAAAGGGACTGAAAATAAGAGTTCAAGGTGACAACAGCTGCTGGCATACAGTAGACAGAACAACAGTTGAGAGTAGAAAGAATGAAAGCAGTAACACAAATTCGTATCATGCAGGGTCCACTTGTATCTCTGCATTTGTTTCAGGGGCATAGGAAAGTTAATGTTTCACACAAAAAAAACCCCAAGGAATAAAGGGCACAATACACTTTTACAACTGCATTTAAGTGAGTAAAATGGAAGTTGACTATTTTATTAACGTCGAAGCATTGTCCAATCATTATGTAGTCAGACAGATGAACAAAATCAACTTCTCTGACTTCAGAAAAGACAGGTTCTTAATTCAAATACCTCCTTTCAGGCTGAATCCCAATGACTTATTCCCCAAGTCTGTAACTTGGTGTCATTCCATTAACAGTTATCTGTGAAGAAGTTGCTCCTCCTGAGATCAGAGTTAAATATTAAGAAAACTCTGGGGTTTTCTACCTTCTCAAACATCACTTTATTTGTGCATGCTATTTAGAATTATCCAAATAGTCAATTAAGAACATCTTCTCAACCCAGCGCTTACAATCAAATGTTTGACTTCAAAAAAATTATCAATTAACCACCTCTAAACAAGAGCAGTCTAATCTTCCTCATCTGACAATTAACATACCATAACAACTACATCCACCTCAGGTGTTCCATCTTCTTTTATGCCAAACTCCTGGTTTTGAACGCAAAGCTGTAAATGAAAAGATACATAATGCATAACACTGGTGGTTTTTTCCCTTTAGTTTAACAAAGCCAAACATCAGTCAAGGATATTCCAGGTTTCAAGTGAAAATGGACTATTATGGGAAAACAGCAGGGAAAAGCTTTTTTCCTAATTTCACAGTAGGGTAAAACATGCAAGGGGTCAAGTTCCCTTTACACAGAAACAAGGGGAAAAAATTTAGTATCAGAAGAAACTTTTAGAGGTCGAAAGAAATAGACTCTTAAAAATATGACTCAAAGTCCATGCCCAAGCTGTGCGTTTAATTATATAATCCTCTTTAAAAAATGCTGAGGGGAAAGTGCACTCCAACAGACAAATGTGAACCCTGTACCCTTAAACGAAGTAAAATTTCCCCAGTCTTACTATGGCCTAGAACCATGCCCAAGTACAGCATTTTTCAAAACCCTGCCAGCAGGTTAAGCTAAAAATGCCTCTATTCTGAACAATTACATAGACAGCAAAAGCAAGCATGTGTTTAGTCAGTGCTGGGCTCTTGTGACACAGATCAGCAGAGAACTCAGAAAACCACTGTCTCAATTTTAGAAGTGGCACTGCTGTTTAATGAGGGAGAACACAATTTCAGATGCCCAACATGAAACTGGCAACTGTTGAACATAATACTAACACTCAAGCTGAAATTTTCCATCAAATGATCAATACAACACCAGGTCTAAGCTGGAGATTAGTTACACATGGATTAATCTGAAATTCAGCTGGCAAACTTGGATGAGGTTTCAGAAGAATGCCGATCTTGCTGCATCCCAGATATTCTCTTCAAGAAGAGCCAGCCATTAGTAAAACTGCCTTTGGTTTTGTTGTTTTGTTTTTTTTTTTTTTTAAAACTGTTTTTTTAAACTCACTTCTACTTGTAAAAACCTTTTCTCTAGAACAGATAAAGATCTCAATAGTGGTACTGAAAGTGTTCAACTAAACCGTACCATGTTAATAAATTATAAACATGATATAAAGCTACACTTTAGTTCATCTATTTCAGTAAAAAATTACTTCATTTTAAGCAACTGCTTCCTAAATTGGGAATAAAACGTAATGAAGAGTGACTTTTATATGAACCAGCTTCATCTTCTCAGCAGAGGTAACTGACAGTGGCTACCTATCAACTTGCAGTTTACGTCTCTGTTAGGAAGTGTTTTTAAGATGCTATGGCACTTAAGGGATTACCGAAGCCATCAGCGCGCAGCCGATGAAACTGCCAGTGTTTCCCAGGAAGCCCTCCATGTACCTGGAGCTCCAACTGGTACTCAGTGAACCAGTTCTAGTATATCAAGCACTCACGCAAAATCACTGTCGGGGAACATCAGCACTTGCTGGGTAGCTTGTGGCTTTTCAAATCTGGGAGATTTGAAGTTTTCCCATTCAGAACACATGGCACTGACAACCTGAGTTGGGGAGGCAGCAATACAGTACCAGAAGGCAAAAAGGAGATGGAGGAGATGCTGTACAACATACCACCTAACATATGAAAGTAGATTGCTTTCTCCTCCCTGGCATAACATGCACTAAGAAACAAAACACCTATCTAAACAAAACACCTATCTAAGCACTGTGGCCAGCACCAAAACAGATGACAGTCCGATCCTTGCCTTCATCTCCTCTCTCTTTTGATTTGGGTAATACCTCAGGGGCAAGGTCACAAAAAAAGAAGAAAAAAAGGCTCACAAGGAATGAATGGGAAGTGCAGTAAGAACTGACAATCCACAGCATGAGGAACAAACGCATAATTTTTGTTTATATTACTATACAAATTACATTGTATATTTTACAGGGAAAAAAAAAATTCACTGTCTCTGCCCGTAATTGTAACTCCCATTTGTTCCACACTCACCACTCAGTTGAAAATATGAACACTTCTTTTGCCAAAATAGTTCAAAGCAGAAGTTGGAGATAACATTTATTGCTCTTTATAAGCCTCCTACAGTTCCATAATACTACTAGAAACTCTCCCACAAGGCATAACATACCCAGAACAGGAGGCAGCCATAAGCATACATGTCAGAGGCTGGAGAAGCTGGCTGTCCCATTTTCAGTTCAGGAGAAACTAAGCTCAGGGTACTGACAACCATAGTGTTTGCAGCAGCACGTTGTTCCTACGGGGAAAAAAAAATTTACCCATAATTTCAAGCAAGACCGACAGCACATTGAAGCAGATGTATCTCCCTCTCCCTTCTAATGTGTAAGACAGCTTTACCATAGAGTTCTGTGCTGACCCAGACTGAAATGTAAAATCCTCCTTTACTGATCAAAAAACAATGGTGCATAAAGGAAAAAAGAAATAACGTCACACATCTATCATCTGTAACTGTAATAGAAGAATAGGGATGGCAGATTTTACTCCGTACTAGAACCAGTAAAGCTCGTAAGGTGGTAAAGAATACAAATTGCAAAATTTCTCAAATTAGGAAAGGAAAAAAAAAAAAAAATCACAAATATTAAAAGACATTTGGCACTATTTTGGAGAACTTTAGTTCTAAAGTTTAGTTCTGCCAGCTTTCCTATTTTTAATTCTCTGCCTTTCTGGTTTTTACCTGAAACTAGCTGCTTCCTCCCTCCTGGTTTCCAGCATATTTTAGGACTGTCTACTGTCAAAATAAAAGCTAGACCCTGCGTTTCTATGCCCCTCCGTAACAGCAGCGAGCACCAGCTATAGCCAGACTGGAGAAGAGTAGTCTTCAGATTGCCAAGAGTGCTCGGTAACACATCAGTTACCAGCTCCACTCACGCATTTGTGATGCACAAGTACAAGCACTGAGCAGCACTGACACCCCTATAGAGAAGGCACAAACTGGATCCAGGCTGTGAGCCATGGGTGGAACTTTCCTGCTCTATCACACATGAGCTGCTCGTAGCACAGCCCATACCTGCAGGGAGGAGTAAAGAGAGGATAGTCTTCCTCAGCTCTTGCAATTTTCACAATGACGCCATCTGTACTGAGTACAACCTTTCAGAAAATTCAGCTGTCAAAAATTTTTAAAGCACCTCTCTTTAGCATGTTGAAAATTGAAATTTATCCAAACATTTGACACTCTTCATGAGATTAACAGATAATGCATTTCCAAAGCAGAAATAAGGGTTCTCAATGAAACTTACTTTCATTTATGTTTATATATTAATATAATGACATATTATTATAATGTATTACTATTAAAAAAATTAAATAAGCATGAAGCAGACCTCTAGCACAAAAATGTTGTAGCTCAAACAACTTGAGTTTAGTAAGCCAAAAGGTGACTACAGAAGAGATACCTTTATTGGAGACTTTGCTATGTAAACACAACGAATAGTAAGACAATAGCTTGTGTTCTTAAAGAATATTAGATTTTCCACAAGAACAACTATGAAATTCTTTACTACAGAAACTGAGGACTAAGTCAGAAGTACATATAAATACAGGTATATGTAGGCAACACGTAAAATCCTGTTAATTTACCAAATACCGCGACAGATAAAAACACGTACTAGAACCCCATTACCTATCAAACAGAAAGGCAAAGACTTCATATGAGCTTGACTAGCACTTCTTCAAACATGAGTTCTTACTCTCACCTCTGATGATGCTGATTACCATTAAATATACAAGACAGCCAACAAACAACTACTGCAACTCCTCTTTTTTGTCCCACTGTTTTGCTTAACCAGAGCCCACACTCTTTTTTTCCCCTCCAAGATTAGATTGTGTTTACAAAAATTTCAACAAGACTCAAACTGCCCAACCCTATTCAGAATATGAAACAGGAGTCTCACTGCTAAGCACAATGTTGACCAATAAATCTTTTAAATAGCACAGTTGTTTGTTTTGATACATAATTCTGACTAAAAGTCACTAAAGGATTTTTTTTTTTACCTCTGATTTCGTGAAATCAAAGTCTCCAACGATTCCTTGTTTTCGATTCACGGCAAAAACATTATTTCCATGCAGAGATCCATGTACTATATTAGCTCCATGCAACGTTTGTAGACCTTGGGCCACTCCTTTCATCACTTTTAATGCCTCCTAATGATTTAATTTGGGTGTTTATTACAAAGACAGATACAGAAAAAACAAAGCACAGTATCAAGTAAGTTTCCATCCAGAACTAAGATTTTTTTTTTTTAAGGTTTGTACATATTCAAAGTTCATGCCAATTCTGTTTTATAAAGTATGGATTAATTCCCTGTAAGATTATTATGACTTGCACAGCCAGGCATTAAAAAGAAAAATTGGAGTCGCCAATTAACAAATCACTAACATGAAAAAATATTGGGGGGGGGGGCGGGGCGGGGAGACACACAAACAAAAACCCATGCAACTTGGACCTTTACAAATAGGTCCAAGTTAGCAAACAGAAGCTTCAAGTCATCAAACAGAACTAGAGAAAAGACTGTGTTGGCTTCTAGCTACTGCTTCTTTGAGAAGGGATGACTATCCAAACTGCCTACACACTGTGTGGGGAGGAAGGAAAGGAAAAAGAGGGGAATGAAGTGAGGGAGCAGAGAAAACAAGAATTACACACACAGGAGTCCTCTAAAGTTTCAGTACAGAAATGCCTGCCCCTGAACATCTAACATGTTCAACTCCAGTACTTTAAAAATGTACTAGTAATACAGCTGAGGCATTAATTTCAATAAAAGAAAAAAAAGCGTATCCAAGCAAAATCTCTTTTAGAAAGTTATAAACTACTGCCTGACCAGATGCTAAGAATGCCAGTCAAGCTATCCCGTGCAACTTTGTACAGTCACTGTCAGCCATCGAAGAAGTACACAGGTAAAACAGCATCAGCACCATAAGACACAGCAAAACAGTAAGAGTTCAGTTCAAAAACATACAAAATAAAATGCTGATAGTCTAAGTCGTTATACTTACTTCTAAAGTTAAAGGCGTATCAGCCTGTAAAGCTCCCAGACTTGCTCCTGGGTAGTACGGGACCATTAAATATACCAAAGGATCAGACTTCAACAACAAAAAAAAGAAAAGGAAAAATAGATTGTTTCAAATATCAGGAATATTGGGAAGTTTAACATGCACTAGATGTGTGATAAATCAATTCATTATGTTTACTAAGTAGACAGTTTATCTAAACTCAGAAGGGAAATATTTTTCTGATTCAATGCTCCAACTTAAAATACGTTAAAGCTTTAAGGTCCAATTACAAGTCTTTCAGCTTAAACCAGAAATCAAGAACATCAATTTGAATCTTGCCTTGCAGAAAAGAAGAAACAACAGTTGTAATAATCCAGATTTCTCCTTCTGCTGATCCCAAGCTCTGTGATACTTGGCAACTCTTTCTATCACTTTGGCTTCTGAGCTTACATCTACAGAATATCCCTTAAAAACAAAACAGATACCCAAGCTATTACTCCTAATGCCTGTAACATTATTGCATTAAACTTTATTTGTTTAATTAAAGAAATGCATATTGTTAGAGGCCATCAAATAACTTCCTCTTCTACTTAACACAAAACTCAATTCCAACTGTCATAGACTGTTCCCATATTTTCTTATTAACTCTTAGAAAGTCTGTACCAACAAAACAGGAAGCGTGTCTCTAATATGAGATTTAAATAAGCCAAGTCAAAAGCAAGAAGAATATTTACAGCTATGCCTCTCATAATGCTACATCCCCTCATTTCCCAATTGCTTGCAGATTGGTAGAGAAGCAGAGCAAGGGAAAAGCAACAGTTCCTGAAATTTCTCAGTGAAATCATCAGGAAGACAAACCAGCACCTGCAAAAAGAGACAGGAGTAATGAACAGAAAAAAAGAGCCACCAGATAACAGAAAGAACAGACAGTAGAGGGGAAGCACTGTTCACTACAGCAGTCCTCAAAAAAAAAAAAAAAAAAAAAAAAAAAAAAAATCAGTAAGCAACATGGAAGCAATCCAGAAGGAAAACAATGCTTCATGTTCTACAGGCCCCGACAAAAAAATCTGCCATCAGAAAAGGGCTGTTAAACACAGGGATATGAAAGGAACAGCAGAGTTCATTCAGAATCAGCACATTAATAAGCCAAGGTCTCACCTGCAGTGCTAATTGAAAACTAGTGCCAACATTACCTTTAAAAGAACCTTCTGGCCCTGAATTTCTGAACACACTAAAGGTCGCTTCGTACTCAGTTCCTTCATGGGCTCAGCATCCAAAAGGTCTCGCTCCAGGCTGCGTGTCAGAAGTCCACCAGAGTTCTGAAGCACATGCACACGCAGATAACCAGGGTAAGCGCACGGCATTTCACAGCTGTTAAGATTCAGAGGCTTTGACTATCTCTCCTCTTCCTCAATCAACTTAGCAAAGCACAAAACCAGTTGGGACACGTTAAAAAGTTACAGCATCTGTTACCAAGAGGCTGGCCATGATGAGGCAGCTAATGAAATGCATTCCTTGAACATCCCCCAGAAAAGGGGGAGGAGGAGGAAGACCACAACAAACAATGCTCAGGGTATATATCCCCCAAACGACAGTCACTGTGCAGAGCACTGTTGGTGCAGAGCCTTGATAGTGCCCGAAACAATAACTGACAGTGCATTCAGACACAATCTCTGCTTACCATATAGTTTAGAATTCCTGCTTCTGGATAAAGAAGTGGTAACTCAGGGAACCATTTATGTGCCAAATACGTAAGCTTCTCCTAAATGAAGGAAAAAGGCCCATAGCTTCAGGTCACTAGTTTCTGACATATATAAATATACACTGACATTTGCAATGTATAACCAGGACATTCAAATGCACATTGGCCATGACTGTACCTCCTTCAACAACATCATTCAAAGTAATACTGCCATTTGCTTTCTAAAAAAAAACCAAAAAACCACCACCAACGAAAAACCACCACCAACGAAAAACCACCACCAACGAAAAACCACCACCAACGAAAAACCACCACCAAACACAACATGAATACAGCAATTTAATATGGACAGATTTTTGAAAGCTCTGAGGGGGGTAGTGTTATGGCCCCAAACAGCTCATGCAGTATCACGGAAAACATTTCACCTTTTCTACAAGAGGCTTTAGTAGGCCTAAACAAAGGAAAACAACTTCACTACAGGTAACTGGAGGAAGACAGAAATCAAGTAGTAACACAGACCAGGCCACCATCTCATGCATCTCCAGACCCCGCACAGCTGTAATGCTGCAAGGTAACTATTACACACTATAACTACATCTGCAGAGGTAGTATATCACCACCACAAATCCTGGTGCCCTTCTACTCGCTCACAAGGCAATGGTTTCCGATTCTTCCCTCCATACAGAGGACTTAGAGAAAGGGTGATCTCCTTCACTTCAGGATAAAAGCCTGTTTTAACCTAGTCACAAGGAAACAGTTCCCCTTCTTGCAAGAAATACAGTCTTTCTTCAGCAACTGAGCTTACACTTTCGCCTGCAGCTCTTCTGGGTTGAGAACTACAGCTCACATTTTTTTCTCCCCTCACTTCCTTATGGAGGGGGGTGGGGGGGGGAGGTCTGAAGAAACTGTGTTCAAATAGAGATAAAATTGATCAGCCTTCATGCCTTCTCCCATAGATTTCACCAAAAAAGGGCCATCTTAACATTCAACACTATAAAAATCACAGTTTTTATTTTATCCAGAGCACACCTTAAAGCAACTGAAATGCAGATGTGCCTCATACAGGTTTGTTTCAGTTGCTTAAGTAGTTTAATACTTACATATTCTTCTTGTTCCTTGGATATTTCCTGAAGAACCCTATTTCGCAGATCAGCAATCTCCTCTTTTATTCCTGTCATTTCAAACTCACTGTAATCATCAGACTGCATTAGGAATAACAAAGTTAGTCTATAATTCTCATTCTGCTATTATACCAAACAACAGTAAACTACTGTAACAGGATTAAGAAACAGCTTCCATATCATAGTTCTGGAGTTGAATGTATTCTCAAATGCACATTTTACTCAGTCTGCTTCCTGGAAATCCAAGAGAATCTCTTAAAACCTAATCACTGAGAAAGGTGTTCCCTCTATTTATGCGACAGACCAAATGTTCCAGCCCTTTGCCTACTTGTTTCCTAAGTCAAAGAGCGTGGGTTTTTTTTAATTAGTTGATTACGTATAATCATAACAGCAACATCATTCATCTACCAGCAATGCCAGGTTCCATAATTCATTCACTTTTTTCTCCCATAAGCAGGCATGTTCCTCCTGTCACCTCATTATTCAAGAATCCTTTTCCCAATGGGTTTAATTAGCATGTCTCATTCTAAATCCCTCTTGGAAGCTTACTGCCCCTTTACAATGCTTACAGAGAGACACACGCAGGTTCTTTTTTTCCTTAAGTATCACCAGAATAATTAATGTGCGATCAAACAAACAGCACTGAAGCTGGGGTAATATTTACATTCTTTGGACTTCTCTGAGGGGTAGTGGGGAACCCTAAAAACTAGAATAGACATTGACTTCTGTCACCAAAGGGGAGGTACACGCATTATTACAAAGTGAAAACTTAAGTTTTTACTTAAGTAAAAAGTAATCACACAACCAGCATGGTAAAAAGAGCTGGACAAAACTGTTCATGCTGTGAACAGCGACCGTCACCAGAGGGACTTTAGTTAAAAGCACAGTGCCATGGCTGGGGACTGAAACAGAAAAGCGGCTATGTACTGACTTCTTTTTTTTTTTTTTTTAAGCCATTCAGGCTTGGTCTCAGGGGCCTGTAAAACTTCCACAGTTAAAGGCAAAATTCAGATCAGAAAACACAAACTATTCTATATAGTTACCACTTACTTGGAACAGACAAAATTATTGTTTCTAAACCAATTTAAAAAACAACAGACAAAAAAACCCAACACTGCAACATTTTCATACTTCCTCCAAGTTGTTCTTTTCAACTAGCTTCCACCTTAACTGGGCCTTTAAGCTTTTCATAGTTTTCTTAATTGATAATAAGTTGTTAATATCAGGTCTTCTATTCAGCCATTCCTCAGCCTGTTTTTTGAACTAAGAGGAAAAGAAAAAAAAAAAAAAAGAAAAAAAAATCAGAAAGTGTTCAAGCATTCTATTTTAATATGCTTTAGTCCAATGCATTAGAAAAACTACCTGAAGCCTATTTGAATTCAGCTTTTCAGGGTCTTTCCCCACAGAAGAGGATTTTTATTGTGTTTCCTTTTAATTACATTAACAACCTTCTGGAAAACCAACATTCTACTTAAAGCTCAATCCCCTTAAGTTACACACTACTGATTTGTAATGAATCCAGAGATTCCAGCTTCCACTGCTTTATTTTTTAAAAAAGTATCTTTGTATTTAACTGAAATGAAGCATTGGCTGAGGTAATACACAACTGCAATTCTCAAGCTTTAACCCAACCAATCTCACATCACCAATATACTCCTAGAATTTCCTTATAAAACGATAAGAGGACATCTTTCAAAAAGAAATTATGTCAGAAAGATTTACTAGTATAGATCAGTGTGACAGAAACAAATAAGACATAAACGCACCTCAACACTGGCCAAGTATCTATTTTGTATGACAGTGATCATACTTTGCTCCTGACGAATGTTATGTCTAACTTTATTGTAAGCACTCATAATTATTCCCCTCTCTGCTTCATCGTGCTCCTGGATTGAATTACAGAGGGAGATTAAAGATTGAGAGTCATTCTTCATTTATACACACCAACGTTTAAGATGTAAAACCTTTACTGAGAAATTCCATTCTTAATGGAAAAAATCATTTATCAGATTTTTCTCTCTCTTCTTAAAGAGATTCTAAAAGGGAAGTTAGCAAGTCTAAGAGTTCATCCAATAGTTTTAATAGAATAAAACTGATTGGCACTTCTATGCAGAAGTCCAATTTCATATTCCACATGCTATGAAAGAATATTTTTTTCAGGATAGCATGGTTAAATAGATATGAAGCATTAAAGCATGCAACCATTCTTCTAAAAGAGTCACTGGTTCTATCACAGAGAGCAGTCACAACCAGACTAAGCTACTGGTTTGTTGTTAGCATCACACTACATGAGAGGACAGGTTCAACTTTCGCTGACATGACCATTCTTTGGCACAGTAGGGACTCTCATTGCAGACACAATGCAAGTACCCCAAAGAGTTAGCAAAAGAGAATGGAGGAAATGCTTATCAAAAAAGGTAAATAACTGGGAAAAAGGCTGACACAAGCATAGAAAAAGATTACCAGTAAGGCAAGAACACTCATCCCACGCAAAATGAAAAACTACTCATCTCTTAAGACTGGAAAAAGTAAATTTATCCATACACATTCACCCAGAGAGGTAATCCCATTATTTTAAACAGAAACTTACTTTTCATCACCTGTATTTTCAACACAAGCACCAAAACTCAGTACAGCTCAAAGAAAGCTTCCCTGCACATAGAGGTAAGAACCAGTTTTCCCAGTATTTCTTAGTTAAGCCAGTCATACATACAGCTAAGTTCCTGTAACCCAAAGCTGTCCTCTGCCTGTTGCCTGGAAAACACATTCTCTTCTCTCTGGGGAGCAACCTGAGTGACTTTATCACACTTCCACAAAAAAAGATGCTGCCTTGTAGCGAATAAACTCATCTGATACATTAAGAAAAGCTTTAAACTGAAATCAAAGATGTATAAAATATATAGAAGTCATGACACAATAGGCATGATTAGAACTTACATTTAAGTCAGTATCCAGTTCTTCACAAATAGCTAGCTCAACCTTTCTGAGAATTTCATCTACATTGCCAACCACTTCCTCTAAATCTGAAGATGCTTCTGACACGAGGTCAAAATACTTCAAAGAGGGGGAAAGAAAAAAAAAAAAA